TCACCTGTACCCCCTCGCCCCAGTGCTGCCCCTCCCCATATTGTTCCATAAATTGGTGAAAGAAACGGGGTACGGGGTCTTTTGCTTAAGCCACTGACCTGGTAAGGGCAAAGACCCTAACTTAAGTTAGCTAATAAACTGTCCTATTGCATTTGCATTGTCATGGGTTGGCATATTCCGAAATTCTCCTTTACAGCCTGGGTACAACACTTCTAACTAGAATGTAATCTCCAGTATGGTCAGCACCTAGAACAGTGCCTGGTGCACAAATAGTCAAAATTTTTGATACAGGGCTGGAAGACAGAGTTGGAGATTTTAACATTGGTACTATCTAAGATGTCTCTATCTATTTTATAGATAGATTTTTTAATATTTTATAGATATTTCATAGATATTTATTTTATACATGTTTCTATTTTATAGATGTTCCTCATCTATAAAATTGGACTATCAACTCTGTCTTCTTCAGGCAGTAGATAAGAAATTCAGTAAGAACCTAAGTGTTTTGTAAACTATAGGCATTACTTCATGGCTGTTAGTATTGAAAGAGTACTAAAATATAAATAAATGGATCTCAGCAACCTAAGACTTCACCACTAACTGGTATTAGTGCCACTCTGGTTCCCATTTCCTATCTACTATCAAACAGGATTCTGAGATGACATATTCTGTTCATACTGATAACTAATGAAGCGTAACTAACAATAGACATCTACCCTCTTTATTTTTATACCCATTTCATTTAACAACTTCTCATTTATTTCATGAACTATATAACTTCATCTTTGAGTTCCCATGTCTTTTCACAAATTATCCAGCAATAAATATAACTGATTGATACACTCATAATAATGAAAGCAGCTTCATAATTTGGAGGAAGTACACTGGAAGAGTTTGAAGATTTCATTCTTGTTTTTAATCAAAACAAAGACTTCTTAATTATTAGCAAGTATATACCACCTTACACTAACAATTGAAAAAAAGGATTACTGTAAGTAAAATTAACCAAATCCATACAGTGGAATACTACAAAGCAATAAAAAGGAATGAACTATTGATACATGCAACAATATATGCATGAATTTCAAAAACATTATGCTACATGTCAAATGTTTGTTATATATATTTTACCACAAATTTTTTAAAGATTAATTTTATACTCTGTTATGTGGGGGAGGATTATGCTGAGTGAAAGAAAGGCAGATACAGGAATATGATTCCATTCATATGAATCTCTAGAAAAGACAAATCTACTCCATAGTGACAGAAGGCAAATTAGTGGTTTCCTGAGACTGGAGATGAGGACTGATGAGGACAGAGCACAGGGGAAATTATGAAGTGATGAAAACATTCTGTATCTTGATAAGTAGTGGGTATAAATCTGTCAAAGCTCATCAAGATGCATATGTAAAAATAGGTATATTTTAATTATGGAAGCTTTACCTCCATAAAATTGATTTAAAAATATCAATTAAAAAGCTTTAAGGAACTCCTTTTTAGCACCTAGCACCAAGGTGGCTATTAAATGATGTTAAGAGACGGTATGGTTAAACAGAATGGTTTACTTGCTTTCTTGAACATGATTTTTCAAGACAATGAATAGCAAAGTAGTAAAACTCAATTTAACATAATCAAAATTTTAGCACTTAATTTCCTGAGTTTATTCTTGTTTACCAAGGAGTAGAGAAGATCAAATGGGACAGTGGGTATGAGTATATGTGTGTGTGGTGGTGCCTACATAAAAGATTTTATCAGTAAGTGTCATAGTTCTCTATTCCTCTACAAGGGTATTACATGGTAAAAGATTTATCAGACCGTTATAGCTTGAAGAAACCATACACTTCAGAGTATTCAACTTCCTGGTTGTATTAGAGGGAAGAAATATACTGTTAGCAATTGACATTTATATTTATCACTCTAAGTTAACATTAGAGAAGTCAGGGGTAAGGGTGACAAGATCCAGGAAAGGGGAAGGAGAAGGCCCCCACCCAAGGCAGGAAGGTGGGAGAAGCCATGGCCAAAGGCGGCAGGATCCAGGTAAGGGGAGGGCAGAGAGGTTTCAAACAGCTAAGGGAGTATTCCACTGTATGGATATATTTGGTCATGTTGTCAGAAGGGACCATTCCCTGGAGAAGGATGTCATATTTGGTAAGGTGGAGGGTCCACGAGAAAGGGGAAGGCTCTCAACAACATGGACTGACACAGTGGCTGCAGCAATGGTTTCAAGTACAGCAACAATTGTGGAGCTAGCGCAGGACTGGGTGTTTCATTCTGCTGTGCATAGAGTTGGTATGAGTCGGAGACGACTCGACAGCACCTAACAACAACAACAACAAAAAGTTAACATTATACAGTAAAATCTACAAAAGCCAGAACCTGTGTAAAGCAAAACCTGTCAGAGAAGGAAAACGAAAATATTTTCTACTAAGACAGGGATAGAAAAGTAGCAAAACCCAGAAAAATACGGCAGTCTTGTCAAGTTTAGGCTCTCACAGGTTTCATTGTAGTTTGTCATTTGTCTTTTTATCAGTTTGGTTAATGTGATGCAGCTCACTACCTACTACTGGGAAAGTAGATAAAAATCATGTTTTCAGACCTACGAAATCAAGTAAAAGCCAGGACTCAGTGCCACCTCCAAAATATGACACTTAGCCTGTCTGAGACAGCTAAAATGTGCCATTTCACCTTGGTACTTCAATGCCCAGCACAATGCCTCTCGCACAATAACAATCTCAAAAAATATTTATTAAACAAGTAGGCTCTCTCTTGGATATGTCTTTTCTACAACACTGATTATAGCAATTTCAGAACTGGAAGGAATTAAAAAATACAGACTCATCACCAGATGGAAAGAAATGTGTCACCTCGCTCACTTGGTTTTCCTTCCTTCCTTCCTGCCAGCTCCTCTTCCTCAGTTTATTCTCCTTCTCCAGTCTTCAGTCATACTTTGTTCCTCAAACCCAAAAGTATCACCTTTCCATGCCCCAAGCCCTATTACTATGCTGTTCTCTCTAGGAATATTCTTTTGTCTCCAGCTTCCTTTTATCTAGTTCACTCGCAATCATCTTTTAGATCTTACCTGATTGCCCACATATTTCTCATCCCCACCTTCCAGACAAGGTCAAGTATACCTATGCTTCTCTTTTCCTAACATTTTGCACTGATTATTAATATTTGTTCAATTACTGTCTTCCCCTCCAGTCTAGCTATAAGGTCACTGAGAAACATTTTCTGTCTCCCCTACTCACTACTATATCCCCAGACTAAAGACACACAGTAAGCATGCAGTAAGAATACGTAGAAGAGTGAGTGTTCCAAGATGGGTGTTTTATCGATTACTAACAGGAAAAGGAAAAAACAGAAAAATAAAATCTCTCTCCCCAAATCCTTGAATAATCCTGGATAATAAATACTGTCAATTCAATTTATCAACATCACGTACCCTGCTAAGTGAAAGATCTAGGGAAAAGGAAAGCAGAAATTATAAGGGCTATTAAAAAGCATGAATAACTGGAAAACTGATAAAAGTACACAATTCCAACACTCTGAAAAGTCAGTATACCTAGAGTAAGGAAAGAATTTTCATATTGCCTTTGGCTTAGAGTATAATTGTATTACTTACATATCTTTCTAGGCTCTCCTGATGTTGATTTTTTTCCATCCGTTTCTGTCTTGCTTCCCTAGTTTTCAGTTTTCCCTAGCCGGGCTCTGGAGATATTCTCCCTGCCATCAAATCCACCATTTTTCTAGCTGTGTGACCTGGGGCACGTTATTAAACTTACTTCAGTTTCCTTCTCTGAAAAATGGTTAAAATAACAATAATTTATAAGGTATCTATTAAGATTATGAGATTATGCTAAACACAGTGACTTGCATATAATGAACCTTCACTAAATATTAACTATTATTATCATTTAAACTAAGATCATCCTATAAAAATGGGGTTTTAAACTCAGCAATGTTCTAATTTGGAAACTTGAGGCTAACCAGTTTCATAGTTAGTACTAATCTCATATGGAGCTCTGGTGGCACTGTGGTTACGGCATCCGATGCTATTGGAACCCACCAGCCGCTCCGAGGGAGAAAGATGAGGCAATCCGTTTCATTAAAGATTTACAGCCTTAGAAACCCTATGAGGCAATTCCACTTTGTCCTATAGGTTCCTTGTGAGTCGATATTGATCCCTCCACCTGTATCATCTAATAAAGGGGCCATGCCTTATTGGCTAATAATTCTGTGTCTGAATATATAAGAAACCTAGTTCAAGTGCGATATATGATACGCAGCCATGCCCACCAGCCCACACATCTCCTCTTCAAGGATAAACCAAGCCAGGCTACGACCACTCTAACAGTAAATCGCAGAACTGGAGGACAAGTCAAGTTCCCAACATCCTGCCTTGATAGTCTGCAGATAAAACAAGTAACTCCCAGTTAATTATTAAAAAAAAAAAGTGCAAAATCTCTGCTTCGGATATGAAGCTGTATTTTCAAAATCACACCATCAACTTCAGGCTGGCAGACTGCTTCAGGTGAAGGTTTCACAGCGGTGAAGTTTGTTTTGTTTTTTACCCCTCATGTTCTTCATATCTGCACACAGCAAGCGCAGTAAGCAGCGTCTCGCGGGTAATGTGTCTCCTTCTGTACGCTAACCCTGGTTTTCGTACAGCAGCTAGGAGGCTGTGGTCAAAGGGCACGCTCCGCACACGCGCAGCCCCGAGTTCCTCAATTCACTCAAACCCACCAGCCACTCCTCCAAAGGAAGATGGGGCAATCTACTTCCATAGTGATACTGCCTCGGAAACCCAAGGAGGGGTCGCTATGAGTCGGGTCTGACTCGAGAGCACATAACAACAACAACAACGTGGCATAGTGCCTCCAAGCGGGGAGAAGGGGGTGCCCAAACTCAACAGTGAGGGGATAAGGAACCGAGGATGAGGGAACTGGAGCTAGGACAGCCAGGGTACCTCAAAGCCGCAGAGTCGCCCGAAGCCACACCGGCCGCAGCCGCGCGGAGCTCTCATCAATAGCTGAGGCCACAGGACGGCGCCACGTCCCAAAGGGAGAAAGCGCCACAATCGTGCAACCAGTGCCATGGCCTACACTGGAGTGCCTGACCCTTAACCGTTCCGGGTCGTTACACAACCTGACAGGGTGAAAACTGCTCCGACCCCTCCCGAAGGGACCGCTTCCGCACAGTTCCTGGACCTGCCTCTTCCGGCTTCCGGCACACGGGGTCTGAGGGAAGCTAATGCCTGCACTCTGCAGACCTTCCGCGCCTGCGTCAACTTGACTTTGACTCTGGCTGATAGGTCCTAAAAGCCCACGTCATCGAGTCATATCTGACTCATAGCGAGGCCTCCTTGGGTTTCTGAGGCGGTATCACTACGGAAGTGGATTGCCCAACCTTCCTACTTCGAGGAGTGCCTGGTGGATTTGAACCTCCAGCCTTCTGGTTAGCAGTCAAATGCCTTAAGCGCCACCCTACCAGAGTTCCTCCTATCTGGTTGCTATTTCTGCCTCTATTCTGCGACATTTCTTGGGAAAGTTTGCTAGGGAAGGAAACAGCAAAATTCTTTTACAAATATTTAAGCAGCTCATATGTATGAGTTTGCCTAATGTTAATGCCTATGCTAAGGGCCCTGTTTTGCCTCAAGTCAATTCTTACTCATAGGGACCCAAAGGACAGAATAGAACTGCCCATAGGGCTTGCTAGGGTGAAATCTTTAAGGGGAGCAAATCGCCGGATCTTTTCTTCCCACGAGCCAGGCAGGGTATGGTGGAACTGCCAACCTTTTGCTTAGCAGCGGAGTGCTTTAACCATTGACCCGGAGGCGCCCTGTGCATCCTATATGTTGTCGTTATTGTTATGTGCCATCTAGTAGGACCCGACTCATAGCGACCCCTCCTTGGGTTTCCGAGGCAGTATCACTACGGAAGTAGATTGCCCCATCTTCCTTGTGAGGAGTAGCTGGTGGGTTTGAACTACCAGCCTTCTGGTTAGCAGTCAAGCGCCTTAGGCACTATGCTACCAGAGCTCCCGAGCATCCTGTATACTGTGCATGTCATTGTTGAAGGGCTAAAAAAGCCTTTTGGCTGAAAAGTTGCAGAAATATAACAGCTGTGATTAGATCTCTATTTTTCTTTTACCCCTCCTTCCTTCTACTTGAATAGCATAGTTACTTTAGGTTGTTCTCACACATTCCTATGGGCATCTGGCTTAAATGCATGCATTGCCCCTAGCTGATAATAGTGGTTTATCAAGTGAGATGACCCTGAGAAAGGAGACACCTAGCCTGGAGCAACCAAGATAAAGGAGAAACAGAGACATCCCTGGTGGACCAAGAGGCCTCCCCTCCTTGTAGTGTTAATCGTTCTCAGCAGGTATGAGGAACTTTCTTCTGACCAAAGGTGCCTTTTTATCACTAACCAGAAGGTTAACAGGTTATAAGGCAACAACAATTCATCTTGATACAAGAAGAAAGCATTATCAGCATCCTTCACACCCTCCTACCCCTTGGCCCAATTCCTTTTAAAAATCTTAACCATTTCTCAGCTGGAAGAGAGGGACCTTTTTTGAGAAGCAATTCAAATTCTTTTGCTTTCCCACTTCAACTTGTGATAATTGGCTCTGAATGACAAGGAATAAGAACCTTGTTGTTCCTACAACATCATTACCCTTCTCTTTGTCTGATGGCCCTGATGAATATGTACCCTGTGTGAATATATCAGTGTCTCTGACCCCCTTAGTCTATCAGACAGACGATCCTATTCATCGATAAAAGTGCTGTCCATTCTTACAGTGTATCAGCTACTCTTTGCAGAAGTTCTTTGAACGGTTTCAATTCATCCATCAGAAACTTTTGGAATGCCTGCCATTGGCTAGGCACTGGGTTATATATGTTGAGAGCCTGTCTTACCACATGCAACATACTCAGAGATAGAAAACAAGATAAAAACAGTGGTGATACTTTATACTGGATACCTTAGAAGTAGAGAGAGAGCAAGCAAAATCTAGTAGAGTCAAGGAATGAAGTGAAGTTTTAGCTGACACTTTAAAGGGAGTAGACTTTCACAAAGAAAATAGATATAACCAGATTTGTATTTTAGGAAGATCAGTCTGTGAGCAGTGTTGAGGACAGATTGGAAAGAACCAATTAGTATTAGTTAGCTATTTCAGGAACCCAAGACAGAAATGATGAGTGGAAAGCAAGTAGTGATAGTGGGTGTGGTGGTTAAGTTTGTGTGTCAACTTGGTTGGGGCTGGTTGAGTGGCTGGGCAGCTGGTGGTAGTTATTCCCCATGAAGAGACTGGAAGTAAACTCCATGGTGGGACCTACCACAAGCAGCTGAGTAGCTGCTGTAGGGATGTGGTCTGCTTCCCATATATAAGTAGCAGCTTTGGGAATGGTCTCTAGCTTATGGCACACTTGAATCCTGCATGTAGCCATATTGTTGTTCAGCAGCCTGCCATGCTCTGCTGACCTTGGGACTTTAATGGACTTGAATTAATTGCCTGGTGTGTGGTCTGGAAACATCAGGCAGTGCCATTTTATTTGTTGATCTTGGGGCTTGTTATCCTCAGCAGCCAGTAGCTGCCTGAGTGAAGAGATGCCTCTAGCTTCAGTGTGCTGGTAGCAAGAGGCAGAGCTGAAGCCCCAAGTCAAGGGGCTTTCCCAAACCCCTTAGAGCCTGGCACTTTGAAATCAGACTTAAAGCCTCCAAACTGTAAGAGCATAAACTCCTGTTTATTCAAGAATCCCATATGTGGTATATTCTTGTCAGAGTGGCACTAGGTAACCAAAACAGTGGGCAAAGCAAAAAGATGATGATGTAGCAGCCACCAAGGAAGTAGAATTGAACCTGGTATTGCTACCCTAAGTCTCTGGGCAGCTCAAATGGTTAAGTGCTCAACTACCAGCTGAAAGGGTGACAGATCAAACCCACCTAGACGTACCTCCGAACACAGGCCTGGTGATGTGCTTTTGAAAGGTCCCAGCTTCAAAAACCCTGTCTTCTACTTTACATACCTGAGGTCTCTACAAGCCAGAAATGACTCAATGAAAACTAACAACAACATCACCACCCTGTTGTTGTTAGGTGCCATGACTCATCTCCGACTCATAGCGACCCTATGCACAGCAGAATGAAACACCACCTGGTCCTGCACCAGCTCCATGATCCTTGCTATAATTGAGCCTATTGCCGCAGCCACTGTGTCAATCCATCTCGTTGAGGGCCTTCCCCTCTTTTGTGGACCCTCTACCTTACAAAGCATGACATCCTTCTCCAGTAAATGGTCCCTTCTGACAACATGACTAAAGTATGTGAGATGAAGTCTGGCCATTATTGCTTCCAAGGAGCATTCTGGCTGCACTTCTTCCAGGACAGATTTGTTAGGTCTTTTAGCACTCCATGGTACGTTCAGCATTCTTTGCCAGCAACACAACTCAAAAGCACCAACTCTTCTTCGGTCTTCCTTATTCATTGTCCAGCTCTCACATGCATGAGGCAATTGAAAATACCATGGCTTGTGTCAGGCACACCTTAGTCCTCAAGGAGACATTTTTGCTCTTCAGCACTTTAAAGATGTCCTTTGCAGCCAATTTGCCCAGGGCTATATGTCACCACCCTACACGTGGCAAATGAGAAGAGGCAATCAAGGACTACATTCTGTTTTCTGGCCTAGATGACTATGCAGATGGTGGTACTTTGCCATTTTTGGCTACCCGACATCTGAACATTCACTCAAGCTTGAACAATTCTTCACTTGATGAGACCTGAGAGGATGTAGAGCCTGTTTCCCAGTATAT